GATTATCCAAAGGACAGAGGTTAGTAAATAGATGAAGTAGTGAAAGGTGATAATCCCAAATAGTAAAAGATAGTTATAGAGAAAAGGTGATAATACAAATGTTGAAGGATAGTAATAGATGCAGAGGTAAAGGGAGATGGTCTAAATTATTGAGGACAATGATTGATAAAGTGATGATAATCCAAATGGAGGAAGATAGTGATAGGTGATATAAATGATGGTGATACTTGAATTTTAAAAATTTTGTTGGATTTATTGGAGGTTTTCTTATGGTTAAGAAAGTTACTCAACTATTAAAGGTAATACCTTTAGAGACTATCCTTAGATTTGACTGAAATTATTATTAAGACTAGACTATTCAATTAAATGATGATTTGTGACGGTGCAACATCATTTAGGATGATATGATTGGTAAACATTTTCAATATCTAGATTGTTATCATGAAGGATGTGGTGCTAGACATAAATTTAGGAATGAATCAAACAAGTCATTTGGATGTTATTGAGTAAATGTGTATTAAATTAGTAAAATTGATCAAAATTTTGTATCACAATCCCTTGCATTTGGAAATTGACCTATTCATATGAAATCAAAGGGATAGTTTTAGTCAATTGTTGAAGTCCAATTGTTAGAACTTTGGGTACTTGGCTAAGTATGGGATTAACGGTGGTTCTTTGACCATTAGAGTAATTCTTTATTTGGTTAATGAGTTTGGTTGATAATGACTTATTACAAATGAGTGAGTTCTTTTATGGTGAGCTTGGAATGCATAAGAAATAATTTTGCGGAGTTATTCTTGATTCTTGACAAAGAATGATAGTAGGGTGAAAAATAGAATTTTCTTTTGGATAACATTTACCATCAAGATAGGTGTAAAGAGAAAAATCCTATTTGATTGATATGAAGAAGAATCAAGCCTAGAGGTATCCAAATTAGTGTTATTCATGGAGACTTGTCGATATAACTTAGGGATATGATGTTTGACTTGGTTGAGGAGTTTGGCTAATTCTCTTCATTTACAGATTTGAGTGAAAATTTTCGTAAGGTCGGGTTTATACTCTAAGAAGATAACTTTTTAGATTTGCTTTTGATTCTTGAAGACAAGTGGTAGTAAGATGTCACAAGGAGTTTCACTTCGGGAAGACTTATTGAGATTGAACTATCTTATAGTTAGGCATTTATAGAAAATTTGATAGTTATGAAGTAAAAAGGTAACAATATGGATTATGCCCATAGGATTGGTGGATGAATTTGAGTATGTGGATGAAAAGTCTAATTTGTTTATGAGTTTTTGTTGTATCAATCATCAGTGAAATCATAGTCTTGATTAATAGTGAAGAAAGTCATACTTATGAATAAAATATGGAAAATTGAAATTTTTTGATGTTTTTGTTGGAGCACTGAGAAATCAAAAGTTTTAAGATACGTCGTTCTATCTTAAATTGACGGTTTTGTGGGTACATTTGGAAAGTGATATTTTAAGAGTAAAAGAGCAATTTAATGGTCGATCATTGATTCTCGAACGGTTAGAGAATTTTGAGACTACTGGAATTTTATTTTAGAGAAATTCATAGTAATTAGTGGAAAATAATATGTTGATTCTTACTAGTATAAAATGAATATCATTTTCTTTTGAAAATATTTGAGTGATTGTGATAGGTGTTAAATTATCAGATTATAGAAGAACTTCTTAATTGGTTGGGTCATAAGGTTTGAATAGACAAGCAATGGAACAAACTTCAGACTTTATATTGTAATTGATTATCTTTAGAGATTAATGTATTGATTTGACCAAATAATCTGATTAATGTAATCAATATTTGGATCCTCTAAGATGACTACGGTAACTTAGGATGATATTGGTGATTTTGGTTATTTCTTTCTGAATTATTAGCTCTGTAAAAGGAACAAGTCTTGTGGTAATGTCAAATGTTAGGGTGGAGGTCCTAAGTCTCTAGAGTTGATCTTTAAACCTGCTTCAAGTAATGATGATTAATCAATCAATCCTAGGGAAACATATATTAAATTAGCTCACATAGCTACAATTGCATAAATATTAATATTTTGACAGCGTGCACATCAAAAGTTGCAAAGATGGACTACTTAATTTCAGTAAGAGGAGAAAAGATATTATGAATTTTGAAGAATAAATTATTTTTAAGGAAGAGAGATTTTGGGTATGACTGATCATTGTGGAAGTTGCCTGGGAGAGAGAGATGGGTCAAGTTTTATACATAAATGAGTTGGTAAAGGAAGAGAACAACTTTAATGGGAGACAATCAAAGAAAGAGATGTACGAGATGGTAGATGCGGGTGGTTTCAGGTTTGCAACTTGTAATAGTTAATTATCAATTTCTTCTTCTTTATCAGATAAGTTTGCTTTTCTAAGGTGCACAAGAATTATTAGGTTACTCATGGATGAGTTTGATGTGCGAGGCTTAGGGTAGACAATAAAATAATGGATTGGAATCCATGAGTTATTCTGTGATATGGCGAGGTGCTTCATCTTAACGATATATTCTAAAGGTAATAAGTGGGGACTAGTAACACTATCATTAGAGTTTGGGAAAGAGAGAATATAAAAATGATTAAGAACAAATTGTGAACATTAGTTCAAGACATCTTTGGCATGTAATGTTACTTCCAAAAGGTGTTATAATTAACGTGGTCAAATCCATTTTACTTTAGTTTTCCCGAGGTTGCCTTAGGTTTTATAGAGTAACCGTTTGACCTCGGAAACTACCCATGCCTTAATTCTTGAATGTGTGAAATATGATATGGGCACTATTTTTAATCAAGTTTTGGTTCTATAATATCAATCTAAAAGCTTGGTGGAGTGATGGCTTAGATAGCTTATCAAAATCAACGATGAAACTTGACAAGATTGCAGAAATGGATGGTTTTGCTTTGAGTTTTGATCGACGAGTTATGGAATAAGTGATAATAATTTGGTTATTGGATTTTACAATGCTTTGATAGGTTATTCAATTTAAAGAAAGGTCAAGTCTAGTAGCATTAGACGCTTCAAAGTCCCGAATAGAGTTGATGTGGCAGTCTATTGAGAGGCTCTATCACCTCGACTTGCTGCGAGTGTAACATATTCCATGTGTCTATGTTAATAGTGGCACAAAAGGCAACAACAATGCAGGCTCATGACAAAAGGAAAATCAATTGGTTAATTGGTTACAAAGAATCATGTTGTTGAAGCCATATTTTTTGCAAAGGGGCAAATGCATCAGGAATACCACACTTATTCGGTTGGGATAACTAGCATAATTTCGAGGACGAAATTATTTTAAAGGGGAAGAATGTAATACCCAGTTCCTATTTGACAAGGAACTAGTTAGAAAATATTATCTTGTAAGGAATAAAAAAAATTTTAAAGAAGAATTTAGAATAAAGTAGAATAATTTAGAATATTGGAGAAGTTTCTAGAAAATGTAGAATAGTCTAGAAGATTCTAGAAAGTTCAAGAATAACCTAGAATAGTCTAAAACAATCTAGAAGAATCTAGAATGTTGAAGAAGTTTCTAGAAGAATTCAGAAAGTTCTAGAACAATCTAGAGAAGTCTAGAATATTTTAGAAGGTTCTAGAAGGATTTAGAATGTTCTAGAAAGTTTCAGAAGGATTTAGAAGGTTGGAGAAGACTTTAGAATATTATAGATGAATATAGATACTTGTGGAATTGCCATGTGCAAAATAAGTTGGAAATCTAGAAGGATCTAGGAGAGGGGAGTTGGTAGAATATTCTAGGGAATCTCCCCTAAAAATGTCATAAGTCAATATTCTCTAGAATAATCCTATGATGCCTATAAATAGGGTATTTGGGGATTGGATTAAGGATGCCAGTGCAAAAGTAGTCTTCTACTTTCAAGAAAGAATAGCGAGTAAAAGAGAGAAGAAAGAAGGAAGAGCATCTCATCAAAAAAGAAAGGAAATTGTGAGAGAAGGAGGAAAGACATCAATAACATCTCACTCTACTTCGGATAACAAGCAACACTCAAGAAGCATTTCCTTTAGACTTGAGGTGAGTGGTTTGGCATGCTACATATTTTTCCCGTATCCCTAAACATTTTAAAAATGATGCATAATGCTTGTTCAAACCTTTACAAACAGTACATCATGCTTGTTCATTACTACTTTTACAAAATATTTTACTAAGTGTCTAAATACTTGTGGCATACGATTCTCCTTACTTTGATGAATTCCTTTGTGAAGTATTGTGACTCAATTACTTGTTTATATGGTGAGACTTAGTGATGGTGAATGGGACCAAAATTAAAAGTCCAGGGAAATCATTCATTTGTATGCGGATGACTCTGGCCACTAGGGAACAGACCCGGGGGAGGCTGAGGTGACCCTAGTGCTCAACGGTTGAAGGAACAGTGTCTGGTGCATCCTGGTAACCTTCACCGGATCATCTTAGGGAACAGACCCGGGGGAGGCTGTGGTGACCCTAAGTACGATGTTAGATCCAACCCTGAGATATATTTTGATATTTGGTATTTGGTTCCCATCGATTATTGGATATCGTGCAATCTCCACCATTATGTTATGATTCACCATTGTGGTATAATTTCTTGTTGAAATCCGATTGTGTTATTCTTCAAAAATTGGTTATCTTGATGAAGTTATTTTTCCAAATCTTTGATTTACATGTCATATACCAAAAATATTTTTCAGCCACTTTGAATATACATGTCTTTCCATTCACTAGGCTTTTTAGCTCATGTTTTCCAAAATAATATTTTTCCAAGAAAATGATTAGAGTGTCAATAGTAGACTTGAGGAATTGATTAGGGACTAATAGTGTTGTGACCTCCGTGGCATATATCGTATAGTCATCTTTACTTGTTTGGATAATTGGGACAAACAGGTTTAGGTATGTTGACTTTGACATATTGACATGAGATCAATTTAGTGTTAATGTTGTTTTTCACTGCTATATTATTAGTTTATTGTTACGCTTACGTGTTCCATAGGTTATGGATCTATGGTTCACGGTCGGTCATGCCCTTGGAGTTGAGGTATGACATTTCCAGTAGCATTAGAAACAATCAAATGATCCAAAGCCTCTGCAACATTTTCCACTGCATTCTTTTCCACAAAAGCACCATTAGTATCTGAATTTATCATTTGCCCGTGAACATCTTGACACAACTCCATAGCATCACACCTCAAACTAGTACCAGCAGTGGAAGAAGCACCAATCACATGTCCTCCAGATCTCAGAATAACAGGTGCCTTTCGTATATTATCCCCTTCTTGAAATACATGAGGAACATCAGACCTCAAAGAAACAACTCTAGGTTCCTCCTGTTGTACCTGAGCATTTAACTCCAATACACTGCCAAAATCAACCCCCTCATTTACCTCATTCAGAACTGCAAAACTATTAATCATATCTGTCTCTTGAACTACAGTCCTCTGTTTATACTACTTCCTTCATCTAGCTTTTTTCACATCATTTGCCATAGCTTTCCCCTTTCCATTCTGCCAACCTTCATCATGGTTAACACCATTTACAGGAATAGAAACCTTCTCAGAAAAGCTACCACCCTCCTCCTTTTCTTCTTTCTACATAGAGAATTATCATGTCCTTGTTTAAGGCAAACAGAACAATATTTATAATCCTTTTCATACACAATTCTTTGAAACCTACCACTTACTCCCCCTATGTCTAGCCAGAACCTCCTAGGATTAATGACCAGCAAATTCATTTCCACACAAACCCTGGCCACTCCAGGTCTTGACAGATTCAAAGTAGCATTCTCTATCACCAGTATTCTACCAATGGGACTCAGAATATCTCTCAAACTCCCTCTATTAAAGAGATGAATTGGAAGACCAGGCAACGACACCCATACAAGAACAATAGTTGGTTCAATCCCAGGGTAAAACTCTAGGAACCACTTAAAAAATCTAAATAGATAACCCTCAATGTATGTGGAATCCTTAAGCCATACTTTGACATAATCCTCATAAAGAGAAAACCTTATCAATATATGCCTTGGATCTAACACTCCTATAGAAAAATCCCCTTTCAACAACCACCTAGAGTTTATAAACTCTTTCACCACTCCCAACGAAGGCTTACCATAGGCATATTTGCCTATCAGAGTCTGACTAAAGCCTTTTGAAAGCTCCTGAGTCTCAATTGGGGACTAGTACATCCCTAGCTCCCCATTGTTGAAAACAACTCTCTTAGCAAGCTTAGAGGAACTGGAATAATTCAAGGAACCAAATAGCATGCTAGACGAAGGAAATTGAACACTAGGATCATTCTGAACACTCGACACAACCTCTGGAACCTAAACTCCTTGCCCAAACACAGGAATCTGAGAATTTGGCAAAGTTCGATCAAGCACAAGGACTTGAGAATTCGAAGTGAATTGGAGATTCAGAGATGAATTAGGGTTTAAACTGATTCCATTCATATTCTAAACACTCGAATTATCAACAGGAACCTGAATTCCTAGCCCAGACAAAGGGATCTAATTTTTTGCAAAAATTCTCACAGTCAAAGGAAAAGTCGATGATGAAGCATGAGCATTCGAATGATTTTGAAGCAAAGGAATAATAAGAGGCATAGAAATGGTGTTATTACATCCCAAAGGATCAACAAAAGTCACAGAATTCATCTCTGAAGCAATAGAAATTTTTTGAAAATTTTCCATATTTGAAGGTTTCTTGAATAAGGAGGCAAAGTTCTTGAGAATATCTAGAGGTTTTGGGGGAATTCGTTTTGGATCATGATCTAGATTCATGTTTGGTTAACAAGAATTAGTAAGATTTCAAGGAATTTGCAAAGAAATAATGAAAAAAATCACTTCAAATTGAGTAAATCTGAGAAAAAATGTTAACAATGCCTAGAGAGAAGTCAAAGCTTCTCTCTCTACAACAGAATTACCTCCTAAACCCTATACCCTAAACCATGTATAGCTACTACCATTATATCCACAATCCATCAATCCAGCAAAATGAACAAATACAATATAATCATCTATTGATGTAAAACTTGGAACATCTCCTCCCATACAGTCATCAGAAGAAAGAATATAATTGAAATCCCCCATGGCTGAGCAGAAATATTCAAACTTCAAAGATGATCCCAAAGTGGTCTTCTCAGTAAATGATCACAACATGCATAAACTAGAGTCAAAATAAAGGAAGAAAATCCCAAGTAAGAGACTTGAACTGTCATGGACTGTGCTTAAACATCCAATACCTGAACATTTAGCCTATGGTCCCAAAGCAGCCACATATTCTTCTCAGTAGCTGAATTTGCCATAAATGAATTCATATTAAGAGTATAATATATACCTAGTAGTTCATTGGATTTTGTTTAGGTTCTAAAAGTGAAATTAAACAAACATCTTTTGATCTAATACGCTCTTTAAGGCGCCTCCTTGTGACATCCTTTACAGCACCTCTAATATTCCATGATAAGAAATTCATCATTTAACAAATGGGGGAATGGCCAAACCCCTAGATTGCGATCTAGTACAAACACCAATAGGTGGAATTTCTAAACAATTAACAGATGAGGGAACTTCAATATCAGAGGTTGGAGAATAAATCTCTAAGCTATCCAAACTCCTTGATTTATCGTTCTCTGAATCATATCCTTTATCTAGCTACTCTGTGGATCGTTGCAATCCTCTCTCGTCATCCAAAGACAAACCATCTAAACTACACACAACATAATGGCCATCAAACAAAAATGTAGTGTCCAGTGAAGGTGATAACTTCCTATTCAAATGACACTGAATAGTCAAATTTGATTGAACAACACCAGGTTGAACTACTGGTAATGATGGGCCTTTATTGGTTTAGGCTGCTGAAGAACATTTATTCTTGGCAACTACTGGCGATGAACAAACATCTTTGCAAACTATTTTGGCTGCATTTAAATTATTAACATCTTCTTCCAAATCCTGCTCTCCAGGTGTTTGAAATAAATTCTGCTTTGGGACATTTGCATTCTGGTCTTGTTGAAAAAACTGAATAACTACTTGATCAGATTCATTAATGACTATCATACCTTCCCTTTGAATTAATCCCTCTCCTTGCTGTGAAATTTATGTCTACTTCAATGGTGAAACTCCACTAAAAGTATTACCTCGAGGTCATTGAAAAGCCTCCAAATCACTGGCCAAAACCAAAACATTCACACTTAGTCTCCTCCCAAATTTTCGCTTTCCCCTTCCTTAATCTTTCCTCCTCTTGCAAATCCAGATCTTGATGTCATCCAGCAGTTTTATTCTTCCTGTATTCATAATCCATATGACCTTGCTTAAAACAATTAGAACAATATTTTATTTCCTTCTCATACACAATCTTCTTCCATCTTCCCTTATAACCACCCATTTCGAGCCATATTCTTTGCGGATTATCCTCCATTACATCCATCTCCATACATGCTCTTGCAACCACAAGTCTTGTAAGATTCATCATAGGCCTATCAAAGTCCAATATTCTTCCAAGCAAGCTAAAAATTGCAACGATACAATCATTAGTGAATAAGCACATGGGGAATGAAAGCAAAGATACCCACATTGGCACCACATAAGGCTTAATACCAGGAACAAAATCAGGTACCCACTTAAAGAATTGAAACATATGGCCTTCAATGTAAGTAACATCTTTGAGCCAAATCTTCACATAATCTTCAAAAAGTGAGAATCTCATGACTATATGCCTTGCATCCAGATGTCCAACAAAGAACTCCCCCTTAATACTCCACTTAGTGTTGATGAATTCTCTAAAAACTGCAAGTGATGGTCTTCCATAGGCACACTTTGCAATCAAAGATGGCTGAAAAGGTTTCTCAAGATCAATCATCTCCTCCTTGGACCAAAAAACTATGTGTTGACCTTTATCAAAAATTACTTTTTTTGGCTTTTTTGGTTTTGAATCATTCGTTTGTTTGGGTTTTTGTTCAGCTATAGGTTTGAAAAAAGATATAATTTGTGGTTGTTGAACGATTGATGCATATGTTTTTGGTTTATCTTATGGATCAAGTGGTTTTGGTTGTTCTAAATGAGGTTGGTTGATACTCATGAAGATAGTAAGCTAGTAACTCACTTTCGATCTGAATAGTGGTATTACACCCAATTATAGGTGATCAAATTGTAATATAAATACTCGATTTAAGTTCGAGGTTAACCCCACAGGGAACTGATATTGGAAATCAAAATGAAAACGGTGAAGTTGTTACAGTTACAAATTGAAATAAAAGTGCTTATGGTGTGAGCTTAGAACAACTAAAAATAAACTTAAATAAAACTGCAGTAATTAAAAGAAACTAGAAATGCAATAATTAAAAGATACCCCCCAGATCAGGGATTTCATATGCATTATATTGGCTAAGTATTAGAAATGTCACCTTACAACAATTAACCCCCAATTTAATTGGTTATTCAACCGGTAGGTATGATGTATATTAAATCCTATCCAACAACTGATTAGGTTAGCTAATGAGCGCAAAATATTGCATATTTCATGGTCTCATTACCTGCATTTTAACTCAACTTTTGCATCTAAGTACTTAGAGTTAGCCAAAATTATGAATAATGTTGAATTTTCGATGTTGCAGGTAATTATAGTGTAAATCATGTATCTTAGAACCTTGCAACCATGTGTGGATGAGTGATGAAGAGATGGACACATTACATTAGAATTTGGAGGCTTAAAAGTGAAAGCAATCAAGGAGGTATTGGTGTTTGGTAACATAGGGATCAACACCCACACCATTTTGTAGTAGTACCTCGGTTTTCCTCCTGTTTGACCATGATCCACTTCCAATCTGAACAAGTGCAAAACATGAAAGTTGTAGAGCTAGATGTCGTCTGTATTTTGTCAAACTTTCAGCTCAATCGGATGGTTGGATCAAATGGTATGATGATGCTACGAAAACTGGTCCAGAGCAAAAGAGTACCGGTACGCCATACCGGTACGGTTCAACCACTAGGGTTCAGGGTACCGGTACGTAGTACTGGTACACTCTACTGAATGCCCAAAAACACTTGCAAATCATGCTCCACTTGCTTGAGGGTTGCATCATTGATTCTCTCATTTGTCCCCTGACTTCCCTTACACATTTACATGCCTCTTACACCCTAGATGAAGACTTTGGAGTCAAGGACATTAATCGGGATGGGAGATAAGGGGGCAGCCATGATGGGTGCAGGCTAAGCCATTCCTAGCCTGTCGAAAGTCATCCATTCAGCCCCCTATTGATGGGATGCCTGCACACACCTTGGGGGGACCACCATGGATGAAAATGCAAGGCTCACACTCCATATATTTAGCATTCACAATCCATTGAAGGGGTGGCTACCTAAGCTTAAAAAAGCTCCAAGGAATAAGATGATGAATAGTAGATAGAAATTTATGTTTTTTCATTTTCCTTTCCATTTTAGTTGTAGTAAGCTTTAAATTTCTTGAAATTCGTAACTCTTGCACTTTAATCTCATTTATTTCAAGTATATTGCAAGTTTAGTTTCATGTTCTAGTTTCCACCATTGTTGCTTTCAAGTTTTCTTCATTTCCTAGCTTTAAAATGGGTATTGCATATTTTTCTTCATAGTTTAAGATTTCTTGCATTAAGTTAAGTTCCATGTTTCCTTTCTTCATTATGTCTCTTTACATTATACATTTCCTTCTTGCTTTCATGAGTAGCTAGATTTTTAGTTGGCTAATCCAAGGGAGACCTCCTCTTGGGTTTGCCATTTCAACTCATTTCTTTTCTCCTCTTGGTGTATGATGGTTTGGTTTGACTGAGTTGTGTGTGGATGCGGTTGTGAGTCTTTGATATCCCGTAGGCCTAGTCACAGGTTATGCTTGGATCCTCACTCTATCTCGTCTTTCACTTCCCACGAATCAATCGTTCATCTATGCACCATTGGAGGAACATTTCAAGTTGACTTGGCATTTCCATTGGAATGACCTCTTCGGATTAGCCAACACTTGTTTTCCTTTCATTTTTAGCAAGAACACAAAACACCAAAAGTCAAAACTTCAAAAAATTTTAAACTTCTCTTCCATTTTGACAAAATCACCTTCACACACTTGAACTTCCTTCTCTGAGGAGACAAACTTGGAATACTTTTCCAAGTAAAACAAGACATTCAAAAGACTCCTTGCACTTGGAGAGAACTTTTGTTCACAACATTACACACATTTTGTACATTTCATATTCCACCATTCCGTTGCCCCTTTTCCCCATCATTCCGAGGGAGAGTGACACCCCCCCATTCCTATAAATCACACACATTGACGGATGATGTTAAGAGGTTAGGGAATACAATAGAAAACATCAAGCATTAGCCGGTAGGTATATCTCTATGCAACAATCAAATAATCCAAGTAAACCAGAAGGCAAGCCATTCAGGAGGAATACTTGCATTAATTAATCGGCATATCTACACCATGCAACAATTAAACGACTATAGTAAACTAGAAGGCAATCCATTCAGAAGGAATACTATAGTTATTCAACCAACAGGTTGATGATTTACTAATGATGAGATTATGATTTATGCATTGAATCAAAAGCATTGGCTATGCCGAGACTTAACCCATCTATAACCAATCAATCGACTATTATGTAATGCCCAATCACGTACATCACTGTATCATGCATGAAGTACATAACTAGTAGATAGTATGATATATAGCATTAGGTACCGCTCATTGTTCATAACCATGAACATATTATAAATATAACTATCCATCAATATGGGAGGTATATATAACAATAAAGCATAGTTATAATATCGGCATTCCAATAACTTAAACAATATCTTACATATGTTCACCCTTCACCGGAGGGTAAAAGTGGACTACTCACACCCCATTGCTACAAACAAGCAAGAGGTGCAAGATAGTTGCATTACAATATAAAACAAAATACAAAAACTCCTTCCCCGAGGAATAGCTAAAACACAACCACCCTTAATACCAGCTAAGTCACAAAAATGGCAGATATTCAACCCTCCAAGTAGAAAGGTATAACAAAAATGTAGAAAACTGGCTGGAAGAGGTTCGACAGGGCTTCGTTGCACTGTTTTTAAAACTCTCTCACCCTCACTGACTATTTCTGACATTGTGGATGTACTAGCGTCACTCTAACTCTCCTGGTTTCTCTCCACTCTCTCTAGACTTCTCTCCTCTAAACCTCTTAGAAATGAAGCTAAAGGGCCCTATTTATAAATGGCTTAAGCCTGCAGTTGTTGGACTGGCCAATCAAACCATTTGTTGCATAATTTAACCAATGGGAGGGCAGCA